AAGGCAACCAAAGTATTAAGGCAAGCAACTTCACCTGGCTAGAACAATTCAGGTTTCCAGGTCTTGTCACCTTTTACTCTCAAAAGCATCCTGCTTTGGAGTATGGTGGCATATCTGTCCCAGGTCCCCTCAACACTATATATTACTTTAAACTTTTAAAAGGTATTGTTCTGGGGCACCTGGGCAGCTCAGTCATTAAGCGTCTGCTTTCGGCTCAGGTCATGATCCCAGGGTCCTGGGATCGAGCCCCGCATCAGGCTCCCTGCTCCGCGGGAAGCCTGCTTCTCCCTCTCCCACTCCCCCTGCTTGTGTTCCCTCTCTTGCTGTGTCTCTCTCTGTCAAATAAATAAATAAAATCTTTAAAAATAAATAAATAAGGGTATTGTTCCAATACCAACTGGATTTAAGTATGATCTCAACTATGAAAATATAGATATAAATATCTGCATAGGAAAAACTATAATGCAATATAACAAAATGCTATGTATATCATATCATTCATTAATATATTAGTTTACATTTCTAAATTATCTACTAGCTAACCTCCAACTCTTTAATCCCGGAGTGGGGATAGTGGGAAACCTGACAGAATACCTAAAAATTTTTTAAAATAGTTCCTTAATATCAAATATACTGTGTTCAAATTTCTAATCGTCTCATAGCTGTGTTTTTTTTTTTTTTTTACAGTTAAAAAAATTCAGGATCCAGGGGCGCCTGGGTGGCGCAGTCAGTTGAGTCTCCGACTCTTGGTTTCCACTCAGGTCAGAATCTCAGGGTGGTGGAACTGAGCTCTTCGTGGGGCTCTGTGCTCAGCTTGGATGAGTCTGCTTGAGATTCTTTTCCTCTGCCTTGCCCTGCCCTTCTCCCCTCCACCCTGCCCTGGAGCACACTCCCTCTATCTCGCTCAAATAAATAAATAAGTAAAATCTTAAAAGAAAAAATCAGGATCCAAATGAAGTCCACACATGGCAGTTGATCGATGCATCTTTGGAGACTCTTTTAATCTATAGGTCCTCCTACACCACCTTAGGCCAGCCTCCTAACTGGTTTCCCTACTTCTTGTTCCTGCTTTAATCCAGTTCCTACATAGCAGAAGGGAATCTGCAAAAATGTAAACGAGATCAACACCTCACTTAAACCCTTCAGTGCTTCAAAAAGCTCTAGGGCCTTGGCCCCACCTGTCACTCCAACTTCTTTAGGGGCCAGGAAATAGCCTTGTTCCCCTCAACTCTTCTGTTAATTTCTACTCTTCCTTCTGTCTCCAGCTAACGTCTCTTCCCCAGGTCCTCTCCTGACCACCCTCTCTAAAGAAAGCCTCCATTACTCCTTCCCACAGCACTCCGTTTTCTCACCTGATAGCATTTATTGCACATTGTTGTTACATTTTTCACTCTGTGTGTTTACTTCATTAACGCCTCTCTCCACAGATTGTCTGCCCCGTGAAGGCATGGCCTATGTGTGTTCGCCATGACTGTCTCCATTCTCTGAACACACTCAGGAAGGGCACAATAAATATTTGTTGAAAAAAGACGAGCTAGACAATTTCATAAAACACACAGGTCAGTGTCTCTGCGCACGCTGTTTTCATCTAGGATGAATTTCCCCTTTCTGGGCTACTTCCTCATTCTCATACATAGACAAGGGGTGAATACACTGGTGAAGTAAAATAATGGGAAGTAATTTGGCAATACTACCAAATTTTAGATGATGCAGTGGTTTCACTTCCCGGACTTCTCTTATAAATATATTTAGCCAAGAACATGAAGGGTTAATTACGAGGGTGTTTCTGCAGCACGGTAAGTAATAGCCAAATCCCAGAAGCAACCAGAATGCATATCAAAGGAGGAGTGGTTAGATAAAGTGTGACACAATCACTTTGTAGAATACACTTTGCAGCCCTTAGCGGGAGAAGGGTGTCATCGCAAGATGGTTAAGAGCATGGACTTCAGAGCCAGGTCACATGGGTTCAAATTCCTGCTCCACCACCTAATATCTGTGTGACCTTGGGCAAGTTGCCTCAGTTTCTTTATCTGTGAAATGGAATAATGATTGAGGGTTGTTGTGGAAAATAGTAAGTTAATACACGTGAAATATCTAAACAGCACGTGGTAATAAGAGTTATACTATATATAATGTACAGTAACATGGAAAAAATGCCCATGCTATTATTGTTCAGTTTGTTTTTATTTTATTTATTTTTTTATTTTTTATTTTTTAAAGATTTTATTTATTTATTTGACAGAGAGAGACACAGCGAGAGAGGGAACACAAGCAGGGGGAGTGGGAGAGGGAGAAGCAGGCTCCCCGCGGAGCAGGGAGCCCGATGCGGGGCTCGATCCCAGGACCCTGGGACCATGACCTGAGCCGAAAGCAGACGCTTAACGACTGAGCCACCCAGGTGCCCTGTTTAGTTTGTTTTTAATTAACTAGGTTTTTTTAAAAGTTTATTTTTGTTAGTAATCTCTACACCCAATGTGGAGCTCAAACTCACAACCTCAAGACAAGAGTCGCATGCTTTTCTGACTGAACCAGCCAGGCACCCAAGTTAACTAGTGCCTGGCACATAGAAGGTGTTCAGTTTAAATTTTTCAATTAAAACACTAGTTAATTGGGGCACCTGGCTGGCTCAGTCAGAAGAGCATGCGACTCTTGATCTTGGGGTTGTGAGGTCGAGCCCCACATTGGGTGTAGAGATTACTAGAAGAAAAAAAAAGAAAGAAAGAAAAAAAATTTTTTAACACATGGTAAAAAAATTCACACAGGATGATAGAGTATGTAATGAAAAATAAGTCTGTCTCACATCCCAACTACTGTTCATGGTTTCTTAGGAATTTTTCCAGAAATGTTTTATGTATATACAGATTGATATGTGTGATTATTATTCTCTTTCTCTCCCTCTCTCTCTCTCACACACACACACACACACACACACTTTTCCTTTTAAACACTCTGTCTTGCAGCTTGCTTTTTACACTTTGTTTAAAAAAAACATTTATTTATTGAGAGAGAGAGAGAGCACGCAGGCAGGAGTAGGAGCGGGGAGAGGCAGAAGCTCAAGCAGACTCACCCCGAGGATGGAGCCCGACATGGGGCTCCATCTCATGACCCTGAGATCATGACCTAAGCCGAAATCAAGTGTCTCACGCTTAACTGACTGAGCCGCCCAGGCACCCTAGCTTTTTACGCTTTATAGTATAGCTTGGAGATTGTTCCATACCATATACACCTATCTCATTTTTTTCCCACTATAAAATACACCACCTAAAGAGGAACTATTTATCCAGTTCCCTCCTGATAGACATTTTAGTGGGCTATATTCTCTTGCTAATACATAGAATGCAGCAATGAATATCCTTGGATATAGCCAAAATATGGTTAGGTTTGGGGCGCCTGGATGGCTCAGTCGGTTAAGCGTCTGCCTTCGGCTCAGGTCATGATTCCAGGGTCCTGGGATCGAGTCCCACATCCGGCTCCTTGCTGGGCGGGGAGCCTGCGTCTCCCTCTCCCCCCCCCACTTGTGCTCTCTCTCCCTATCTCTTTCTCTCTCTCTCAAATAAATAAATAAAATCTACAAGAAAAACAAAATATGGTTAAGTTTAAAAGAAGCCATAGTCCCTATTTTGTTTTTACAATGCATGTTTGTGTGTGCATAAGTACACACCCATTGAAAATAATTGGCATCTGTAGGAATTAGGAATGCAAGGACTAGAAAGAACACAAGAGCCTGTATGTTTAAAGTGGGTTTTTTTTTTAAGATTTTATTTATTTATTCATGAGAGACAGAGGCGGGGGGAGAGAGAGAGAGAGAGAGAGAGAGAGAGGCAGAGGGAGAAGCAGGCTCCCAAAGAGCAGGGAGCCCGATGCGGGACTCGATCCCAGGACCCTGGGACCACGACCTGAGCCGAAGGCAGACGCTCAACCATCTGAGCCACCCAGGCGCCCCTAAAGTGGGTTTTTTTTAAAAAAAAAATGTTACCCACACAATAAAACCTTCCCAAAGTTGTCTCCCAATATAGAAACAATCACAATCACCTTCTGGCTCTCTCAACTCTTGGTTCACACCTCAGTTATAGACAGAATATTCCTGCCTCTCACCCCTGCATGCCTGCCTAGTGCTCCTCATATCCTGCATCACCCAGCCCAGTGCCTGGTGCATAGAAGGTGTTCAGTGAACACTTTTGGAATGAATGAAGTTAATATTCTAACCCCCAGTTTCCCTGTACATAAAATTAGGATGGTAAAGTGGACCTGCAGTTCATAGCCACCACAAGAAATTACTGAGCATGTGAATGTTCTTGAAAAAGATGAAACAGGGGCACCTGGGTGGCTCAGTCAGTTAAGTGTCTGCCTTTGGCCCACGTAGTGAGCCCAGAGTCCATGGGTCTCCCTGCTCCATAGGGAGTCGCTTCTCCCTCTCCCTCTGTCTGCCGCTCCCCCTGCTGGTGTGTTCTCGTTCTCTCTCTCTCTCTCTCTCTCTCTCTCTCTCTCTCTCTCGTCAAATAAATAAATAAATAAATAAATAAATAAATAATATCTTAAAAAAAAAAAGATGAAACTGTGTAAAAATACTCAAGAGTAGGGGCGCCTGGGTGGCTCAGTTGTTGAGCATCTGCCTTTGGCTCAAGGTCATGATCCCGGGGTCCTGGGATCGAGCCCCGCATCAGGCTCCCTGCTCCGTGGGAAGCCTGCTTCTCCCTCTCCCACTCCCCCTGCTTGTGTTCCCTCTCTCGCTGTGTCTCTCTCTGTCAAATAAATAAATAAAATCTTAAAAAAAAATTGTAAAAGTGAAAAATTAAAAAAAAATACTCAAGAGTAATCAGTTAATCTGAAATGTATCCTATGGGCTGACAAGGTCAAAACACCTGCAGTGTGGCTGGTTCAAAGGCCCAAGGCAGCTTCCCCATATGACACTTGCTTCAGAGGAAGTGAGAAGTATCAGATTTGGGATGTATTTTGAAACTATAATGGACAGAATTTGAGTTTGGGTGTGGGGAATGAGAGAAAGAGGAATCAAGAGTGATTCTAAGGCTTTCGGCCTGAACAACCGAGTGAATGATGGTACTATTTACGGGGATAGGAAACTCTGAAGGAAGAACTGATTCTGGGTAGGGACAGGTGGTAAGTCATGAGTCTGTTTATGGACAGGCTGAATCGAAGATGCCTACTGGACACCCAATGGTGATGTTACATAGGCACTCGGCTGTTTTGTCTTGAGTTCAGGAGAGATATGAGCTGGCGCTATCAATGTGGGAATCATCAGGAGGTGGGATTTTAAATGAGTAGATTACAAGAGATCACCTAAGAAGTGAACATAGACAGAGAGAAGAGGTCAGAGGATTGAGCCCCGCAGGACTTTCACATCTAGCAGTGGACCAGGACAGGAGGAGAAAGAGCCAGCAAAGGAGATGGAGAAGCAGCAGCATGGAGGGAGGAGGAGAGAGCCAGGTGAGTGTGGTGTCCTGGGAGCCAAGGGAAGCAGGCAAGCACTTCATGAGGCATGGCCAGATCAACTGTGTTGAATACTGCTATGGGGTTACAGAGACAGAAACAGAATTGCCCACTGGAACAGCATTGTGAAGCTTATCAGCAACCTTGCCAAGAGCAGGTTCCATGGAGCGGGTTCAGGAGAGAGGAGGTGAGAAAGTGGAAATAGGCAATTAGGAATAGGTGATTCTTTCTGAGTTGTACCATAAAAAAGGAACAAATAATGTACCAACAGTCAGAGGAAGATATGAGGTCAAGGATGGAAAGATATTTCAACACATTTGTAGGGTGAAGGAAAGATCTAGTAGAGAAAGGGAAATTGTCGATGTGAACCTCCACTGCATACTTACTACTTTTCAGGAGCTGTGTCAGGCATTTTATATGGATTGCTTAATTGGACACCAAACCAATGAGGTAGATAATGTTGTCAGCCCTATTTCACAGAAGACAAATTGAGGCATCGGGAGGATGGATTAGTACATGGCCATGGTCTCATGACTGGTAAGTGGAGAAACTTGTATGTAACCACGATGTCTGACTCTGGAGCCCTTGTGTTCACTTTCTTCTTCATCCGAATTTATCTCTTATTGCAAAACATAACCACTGGCTAAAATTTATATCCATTATCCTGTGTTATATCCCTTCAGAGGAAAACAAAACTATGGACCCTTCAAGACTTGGCTGAAGTGAGTCTCCTGGAATTTGTATCTGACTGCTCCCTCCCCCTCTGCTTTGGACCAAACCTCTATCATGGTCTCTACTATGCCGCTGCCCAACCCAGCACCCACCCCCCACCTTAATGTGTCTGTTTACTTATCAGTCCCTGCAGTGGAACCGGAGTTCCTCAAGGGCAGGAGCTGTGTCTAATTCATCTTTCTATCTCTGGCTGGCAGGACAGGCCCTCCAGCAGTAAATATTTATCAGGGAGTTGAATGGATGGATCACTGAAGGAACTGTAAAGAGTTACTAGGAATGTTGGCAACCACAAGACAGCTGAATATGGGCATCTATATCTGCAAGCTGGTTACATACTAAAGTGCTCTCAAAATCCAGAGTGCAAAGGACTCCCTGAGGAGTAGGAGTTTGTGGTTGAGGATATTTAAGGATGTTCCACCCCCAGACATTTTATTCAGCATGTCTGAGGCAGAGCCCAAAACTTAGTACAAGAGGGTTCTTCCCTTTTCAAAGAATTCCATGCAAGTACTCCATGGTCTTACCACTGGAAGGTGCTAGGGAATCAGGAGACTCGGATTCCAGTTCACATTCCCCACTTACCATGTGGATAGGGTTGCCAGATAAAATATTGCATGCAATATTTGAGGTATGCTATACTAAAAAATTACTCATTTATATGAAATCCAAATTTAACTGGGCCCCTGAATGTTTATTTGCCCAATCTGGCAACATTCCAGCTGGATGACCTTACCAAGCTACATAATAACCCCTTTGATCTTCAGGCTCCTTATCTATAAAATGGAGAAATTTGAGCTTTCCTCATTGTCATGACGATTAAATAAGGTCTTTATGTAAAGTGCTTCAACAGCAGATGGCACATGATAAGTGCCCAATAAATGAGCTAGTAGAATTTATAACATTTATTTTAATTTCCTTCTCTCCTAGAGCATTAAAATATAATCCATCAAATTAGATTTACACACAGTTTCTCAGAAATGCATCAGGTGAATGGTCAGTTAATGTGAGTCTGGGCAACTGGTTGGGATGGTGAAGTATGGAGAGATCCAGTCAGTCCTGGGCCCCAAACAGAGGGTTAAAAAAGGACATCCAAAGTCTCATTCAGCTGCTAATTTCTCAGTCAGATCTCGTTTTCCCAGATCAGCCAACCAATAAAAGAAAGATGTGATCCTTCCAGAAACCAGTAGGTGGGAGTGTGTGCATTTGGAGACAGAAGTGGGATTCGGCAGGAATGGTCCAACAGCACCGCGGCAGGGTTTCACATTTGTTTAGAGAAAAAGGGAGGGTCTGAGAAAGCTCTGGGCAGAGCACTGGTCAAGAAGGGGAGAGTCGCTGCAGCCCCCAAACTGCCAACTAAAACAGCCTATAGAGGACCAGCCCTTATGGGCAGATTTGGGCATACACCGTGTAGAAAGAAAAATAGATTTTGTATGTTGAAAAATAGCAAAAAGCCAAAAGCGGGGCACGGGGCTGGCGTAGTAGAATACTCACTCTTGGTCTCAGGGTTGTTGTGAGTTCAAGCCCCACGTTGGGTGTTGGGTGGAGATGACTTAAAAATAAAATCTTGGGGGCGCCTGGGTGGCTCAGTTGGTTAAGCGACTGCCTTCGGCTCAGGTCATGATCCTGGAGTCCCGGGATCGAGTCCCGCATCGGGCTCCCCGCTCAGTGGGGAGTCTGCTTCTCCCTCTGACCCTCTTCCCTCTCGTGCTCTCTATCTCTCATTCTCTCTCTCTCTCTCTCTCTCTCAAATAAATAAATAAAATTAAAAAAAATAATAAAATAAAATAAAATCTTGGGGGCACCTGGGTGGCTCAGTTGGTTAAGCGACTGCCGTCAGCTCAGGTCATGATCCTGGAGTCCCAGGATCGAGTCCCGCATCGGGCTCCCTGCTCAGCGGGGAGTCTGCTTCTCCCTCTGACCCTATCCCCTCTCATGTGCTCTCTCTCTCTCTCTCATTCTCTCTCTCAAATAAATAAATAAAATCTTAAAAAAAATAAAAAAATAAAAAAATAAACTAGAAATATATTAAAAAATAAAAAATAAAATAAAATCTTGGGGCACCTGGGTGGCTCGGATGGTTAAGCGTCTGCCTTCAGCTCGGGTCATGATCCCGGAGTCCCAGGATCGAGCCCCATGTCAGGCTCCCTGCTCTGCGGGAAGCCTGCTTCTCCCTCTCCCACTCTCCCGGCTTGTGTTCCCTCTCTCGCTGTGTCTCTCTCTGTCAAATAAATAAATAAAATCTTTAAAATTCAATTCAATTTAATTTAATTTAAAAAAACCAAAGCAAGTGGCAGACCAAAAGAGAAAAATCTGCAAATTTTATTTTATTTTTTTTATTTTATTTTATTTATTTATTTGAGAGAGAAAGAATGAGAGATAGAGAGCACGAGAGGGAAGAGGGTCAGAGGGAGAAGCAGACCCCCTGCTGAGCAGGGAGCCCGATGTGGGACTCGATCCTGGGACTCCAGGATCATGACCTGAGCCGAAGGCAGTCGCTTAACCAACTGAGCCACCCAGGCGCCCTGCAAATTTTATTAATAAAGAATTTCAGAATGTATAAAGATGTCCCACCAATCATTAAACCAAAGACAAAAAAAAACCCCACAAAACCCTAAAAGAAAACTGGATGCTAGGGACACCTGGGTGGCTCAGTCGGTTAAGCGGCTGCCTTCTGCTCAGGTCATGATCCCAGGATCCTGGGATGGAGCCCCGCATCGGGCTCCTTGCTCAGTGGGGAGCCTGCTTCTTCCTCTGTCTGCCATTACCCCCACTTGTGCACTCCCCGCCCCTGACAAATAAATAAATAAAATCTTGAAAAAAAGAAGAAAAAGAAAAATGGATGGCAGATATGAACAGACAATTCACATAAGAAATACAAATGGCCAATATACATATGAAAAAAAAAGATTACTCTCTCTAGCAACAGGGAAATACAAATTGAAACAAGACTGCCAGGAGGTTCTGCCTTATTTTCCTATGACTATTAAGGGGAATAACTTAATATTCATCGAGCACCTATTCTGTGCCAAGTATTGTGCTAAGAGCTTTCTAAACATTAACTCAGCATTTAATTTGTACAAAAACCTTGAGAAGTAGGAACAAAGGGAATTGCCATTTTACCTACAGAACACTGGGGCTTAGAAAGGTTAGTAACTTGCCTTGAATGCACTCAGCCGGGAAGGGCAGAGCAGGTTTGAGACTCAGGTTTGCATGGTTCCAAGTCCTTTCTCTCTCCACACTGCTTTTTCTAAGACTTTAGTCCAAGTAACATCTAATGCTTGAATGTGGTGCTTTGGAGAAGGCCCTGGAAGCCAGAGCGGAGCAGACAAAAACAAACAAACAAAAACCTCAGAAAATCAAACGGGCTTGGGAGTAGGCCTGGCGAAGCAGCGTTCTTTGGCAGAGCGTGCAAAGCTGGGATTTGGGAACTGGCGAGAGGGGCGTTTGGGAGGCCAACTGGGGGGCGGGGAACCAGTTCGTGGCCGCACTCAAAGCAGGATGGAGTCTGGCTGGCCTGAAGGTTCACAGCCTTAGAGGCTGGAACCTGAGGAATCTGTTTGTCAGTCCACTGCATGCTGAGTTGCAATTCTGATTTCTAAACCTTGCAGGCCAGAGTCCGCATCTCCCTCCCCCATTCTCGCACCTGCTGGCAGCAGGGGGGCTCCGATGAATGGACAAGTTCCACGGATTCTTGCCCCTTCCCCCACCTTTTACATAGCCAAGACCAGGGACAAAAGGCGCCCGGGGTCTGGGGCTCCCTCCTCGGGCTCTTGCCAGCTCTGGTGAGTGCCAGACAGCTGGAGCCATGCTCCACGCTGCACCATTTACATTTTTTACAGCTTCCCCACTGCCACCACCACTCCCCTCTTTCCCTCTTGGCTACGGCCAGGGCCACGGGTCCACAAGACCCCAACACCCTTGTCACAGTTAAGGGTACTTGCCTGGAGGTGGAGGCTACTTGCCCGGGAAAGAGAGCCAGAGCGGCAGGAATACCGACAGGGACGCCATGCTCAGGTCCCCATGCGAGAATGCTGGGCCCTTTGTCCAGGACAGGACATCCCACCCAGCAGCGGCATGTTCGGTCGTGGTTCCAGGCCCCATGTGGGGACTGCCCTGGAGGATGTTGGTCCCTATCTCTTTGCATGGCTTCCTAATCCACTAATAAACTAATAAACAGCTACAATTTATGAAACACCTCCTGTGTCCTGGGAAGAGGGCTGAATGCTTTTATATCTGTTCCCTCCTGTAAATCTCAAAACAACCCCAGGTGAAATGAGTATGGGCCACATTTTCCAGATGAGGCAAGAGGCTCAGAGAGGAGAGGCTTGCCCCAAGCCTCCACAAAGTCAGCTATCAGCCCTGGGCCCAATATGTGAGCCCAGGTCTCCCCCTACCCCCTACCTTGAGGGTAAGTCTGAGGACCCTTGGGTAACCCCTTCCTCACCTTCTCTTGCACAATTCCTCAGTCTCTGTTGTTTACATGTTTACCAACTGGCTCCAAAATCAGGCCATCACCCTGACCCTTACTGGGCCCTCAGGACTGGCCCCACCTGAGCACCCCTTGCCCTTCTAAGATGGCCTCCTGAAAAGCCCACATTTTGTTTCAAATACTAGTTCAGCAGGGCAGGCCAGGAAAAGGGACCGTTATTCCTCACCTCTGTGAGAAGCCCTGTCAAGATTCAAGCGTGGCTCGGATCTGCTGCTCCCTGACCCTCCTTCATTTCTGTCAGGCCCTGCCCCTGTGGACAGGGTCTAGCTTCAGTCAAAATGAGTGCTGGTTGATTCTCACTAGCATGTTCTACCTCTTC